GCCCCCCCCAGCCAGTGAGCGGGAGCCGGTCTGTATGTGGGATCCGAACCCTCGGACGGGAGCGCCGCCGCGCTTCCCAAGCGGCGCACTATCCAGTGCGCCACCGGGCCGGCCCCACATCATAGTTTTTTACCTATTCTACTATCCTGAGGCATTACTTTAATATTTCATTCAAAGCCACAGACAACTTTTCATGTCTACTCAGATTTAATTTGATTTGGTTACAGTGAGTTTGTAAAATATTTCATTTATATACATAACAGAAACTAAGTATCCTGTTTTTGAAGATAAGTCCAGGGCATTCACAATAACATAAAAGAAATATTTTAATACTTCTGAATTTCAGTCAAAGGAATTATTATTGTAAAGTATTAATGCATTTCTAGATATTTAAATAGCCATAGATACCAGGAAAATATGAATCACAAAAGCATCAGTGTGACAGTATTGCATTATAACTATATAGGCTTAACACATCAATATCAGTGTACCTTAAGAAGTCCAAACCCATGTCATAAAAACAGATGCTCTACTTAAAGACTAAGAAGCACCTCAGCCTGGTGTGGAAAAGCAGAGGAAATGAGTTAAATAAAGACTGAGAAATTCACTTCTGTAGCGACAGAACTTTGGGGCAAGCATATTTTATTTTCTTGCCTTAGGCCAATATTTATGGACAAGAAGTATGTTTTTCTGTGGAGATTGTAGAGAAACCATCATTAGCAAAGGCAGAAAGTATTCATTCCCAGTGAAAATACATTTTTTCAATATCACAGGATAAATTGTACATGAAAATTGCTAGAAATACTTTCATACATAGTAAGTCTGAAAGGGAAAAAAAACTTTAAGACAAAGGGCAAAGGATTTCTCTTTAATGAATTCTTTGGTTATAAATAGGCCTTGAGTGACATTTGTTCTATCAACTATTAACTGATTTTGCTGGTGTATGTTCTGTATGTCCCTTGAAGACCAGAATGAAATTACTTATCCTGAGTTATAGCTCATAAAACATATTTAATACATCAATGACCTTGACATTACCTTGATTTAATGTAAAACAATTACAGAATGCAAATATACCTTTATAACTGAGACAGCATATTTTGTTTATGAAGCTACTGCTGAGCATGTTGCATAAACTTTTCATCCTTTTCAAAATAAAAACTCAGATGCTTTTAATAGTAAAGATAAACAAAGGTGATATACAAACTCTTGGTACATCTTCTCATGATTTTGACATGATGTTTCCCATTCACTGAGCCACAGATTCCTGAGTTAAATAAAGCATAATGAAACATTATTAGCACATCCTGGGATTCTATAACAACTTACTATCACTTTAGCAAAGCAACCAGTGCTGGGAAGCAGAAGACCCAACCTACTGCCAAAACAAAGAACACCTACTCTCATGCTGATGAACTAAAAAAAATTTTAATCTAAACAATAAAGAAAATTAGCTAATATGGATTAGTTTATAGCATCAAATATATGAGAGTATATGAGAATAAAATAATGGAAGAATCTAGAAAAGTTAAGAGAGAAAAATATAAGGCTACATGAAAAATTGTAAAAGAAACTAGCCAATAGTGATTAAAAAAATATATATATAGAGAGAGATAGAGATAGATATAGATATAGATATAGATAGATATAGATATAGACAGCACACCAGATTAACGTTTAGGTTGGTTGCTACATGTTCTTTGGTGAAAACAGGATGCTGTTTTTTTACAACTACACATTTTCTCCTATAACAGTGTAAACAAGCACATTCAAGTACATAGTGAATGACTAGGCTTTTCATACAACTAAAAAAAAAGTAACTGGATTAACAGAGAATGTATATATATTGAATTTAACCTTTTACTTGGAATATGATTCAGAAGTAACTTACATTTTTCCTGTGCCTGGGGGCATTATTTTCTATACCATTGCTATCATCTGATTTCCTGCATGGAAAACAAAAAGGAAAATCACTAGATGTACACATTGCATAAAATTAAGTCAGTATACCATTTATATCATGGCTATGAGGCTAAAATATAAAACATAAAAACAGAATTTATTCTTCCTAAAAATATTTTGCTCATAATGTTGATTTTATTTTATATCATTGCTTGAAGAGGAGCTGGTGCCACTGATGAAGGTGACAACGGCTTGTTTATTTTACGCAGAGGGAGAGGTGCTTCTCCCCAAGACTGAGGGTGGGCTTGGGCATATGACAACAACTTATGCGTTGTTTTGAACTATGCAAAATAACAGGAGTTAGGGGACTACTGATCTAATTATATTGTGCCCTTCATTTGGAAGCTCGTATCTTGTTGGTTTATTTTACCTGCTATATGTGAATCTAGTAAACATAACTGTTTGAATAGTAAAAATACCTAAATGACAACTGTCTGCCCCACGCCTGCTTTCTATCTGTGGCTGTAACACTCACACCTTAGAGCTCCTGTTGGCTGACAAACTTCAAGTGCCATTTTGGTTGGTAACTGTTGCTCAGGCTTCCATTTCTCACGTTTCTTTCAGCAACTTCTATCTGGTCTCACATGCTGGTCCCCAGCCCTTGGCTCTGTTACTCAGATTTTAACCCCAGTCTTGGGCACCTTCATCACTGGCCTCCATACTCAGTTCTCTGGCTTGGAGAACCTAGGAATTCCCACCTTTACCAAACCAAATTCCATCCCTGGTAACCACTTCCAGCCCTCTTCATGTTCATTCTTAGCAAAAGGGGCTGTAAGAGAACTCATGGCACAATCTAAGTTCTCTCCAAAATAATGACTAATAGAATTCAACGCCAGTGATTTTCAACATGACAGAGAATTAGAACCACTGGAAGATATTTTCAAGCAATACAGGCCCCAATTCCAGAGGCCCCAATCCAGGAGATCCAGAAGGTCTGAGTGCCTGTATTTTTAAGGAAACTCTTAAGTGATCAGAAATATAGCCAGCGTTGAGAATCACTGTTTTAATCAAATAATACTTCCTTGTGGATATCGAACACCTTCTGTGCTTCATGCCTGTGCTAAAGCATTTTCACATACGTAATATTCATTTAATCTAACAGCTTCATGTGGTAAAAACTGTGATTAAGCCCATTTACAGAGGAGAAAAGCACAGAGAAGTGAGGGTAGGAAGTGAGGAAGGGGGATTCTAACGCAGGCAGGTGGACTCAATTTCATACTTATCTGTATTTTACTCAAGTGAAAATTAATCTGTAAAAGATAATACTTACAGATGTTCAATTTGTTCAAATTCTTTCCCATCATCTGTGTAACAAAAGAAGAATACGACTGTTCAGGTTGGTTTATTATTTTTTATGGAATATATATGTTCAGCTCAGCCTCCCCACTAAGTTAAGTAGGCACTGTGCTATTTTTCCTCTTCAGAGTGAAGGAGAGACATGATAGCTGCATGTCCTGCATGCCTTCCTCTTTCTCTGCACTACAGACCTCACCTGAATTACTGATCAAGCAGAGTTTAGTGCCCTGGGATTTTCAAAAATATGATTAATTATTTTGTCATTATTTAAGTTATTAAAAATTTAGTGCAAAAGCTGGCCAGTAAACTCAGTTGGTTACAGTGTGGTGCTGAAAACACCAAGGTCCAGGGTTCAATCCCTGTACCAGCCAGCTGCCAAAACAAAAACAAACAAAAGAATTTAGTACAAAATCAGGAAAAAATACAGGACGTATGATAAATTTTCTCAAGGGCCCATTGGTTTCTCAATCCATAACCCATTAGGCACAGTATACAAAAGTAGGAAACTGACAGGATGATATCTCTTTTAATGAAAACTCCAAACTGTTAGATAAAATAATTTTTAAAATGAATTATCTAAGTGAAAGAATAATTGTCTTTGAGCCTGTTTATATTTAGCTATCACAGATTTTTCCAATATCCCAGGGCCAAAACACATATCCCCTACTGGTACTTAGGTACTTAGGTACCAGTAGCACCAAAAGAAAAGGGAAAAGGGTATTTTTGAGTACTAAAAATTTTTAGGAGGTTGACACAGGAAGACCATTGATATATGCTCATAGCTCACTGTCATCACTGTTACTAACATAAATACTATTCCAAATAATAAAAATGGGATTTTTCCAAAAACTCTAAAGTTACTGTACTAAGTCATAATATATAATTGATACTTATCATAATTAAGTGATAATGTTATCTAAAAAAAGAAATCCTACCTGGCTGCTGCTTTTTCTTTTGCATGCACATTTCACAAAGCAGGATAATAGCCACTAAAAGAATGACCTCAGCAACTATTGCTAGAAATGGCTTGAGAGGCACCAAATAGCTCAGCACGACAAGTTCAATGCGTTCTTGACTCTCGCTTAACTGGAATAACGCACGGCACCAGTAAGATCTTCCATCTTCCTCTGAAAGTTTCATGATCTTGAACCTTGTTTCATTAGCATATGTGCTATTGATCACATACTTATCATTCATTTGAACATCAACAGGAACCTAATATAAGGAGACATTAAAATCCATTTCTATCATATTGCATAAA